GTAGAGATGAGGTCTTGCCAAGTTGCCCAGGTGGGTCTCGAACCCGCGGGCTCAGGCAACCCACTCACCTCAGCCTCCCAAAGGCGTGGGATTACAGACTGAGCCACCGAGCCTGGCTCAGCTGTTTAGGTTTTAGAGGAACTGCCAAACTTTTTTCAGAGTTGCTGTATCATTTTACATTCCCACCAGCAATGAGTGAGCAATCCAGTTTCTCTGCATATTCTCTAGAATTTGATGTTGTCCCTGTCTTTTATTTTAGACATTCTCATAGATGTGTAGTAGTTTTAATTTTCATCTCACTAATAATTAATGTTGAGCATATTTTTATGTGCTTATTTGCCATCTGTATGTTGTCTGTGAAATACCTTTTTATGTCTTTTGCCTGTGTTAGGACAAAATATCAGGGAATAGAACCTACTATATTCATGAAAGATCTGTAGTTTTCCACCCCTTCTTCCCCCTCCTGCCTCCTTCCCTCCCTTTCTTCCTTCTTTCTCTCTATTTTTTGTGTGGTATTTTGTGTGGATTTGGGACCAGGTTACACTAGCTTCATAAAATGAACTGGAACATGTTTCCTCCTCTTCTGTTTCCTGGATGAGCTTATATAGAGTTGGTGCTAATTCTTTAAACATTTGGCAGAATTCTCCAGTGGAACCATCTGGTCCTGAAGATTCATTTTTGAGAGTTTTTAAATGATGGACTTAATTCCCTTAATAGTTACACGACTGTTCAGATCAGCTGTTTTCTATTGGGTGAGTTGTGATAGTTTGTGTTTTTCAAGGTATTGGGCCTATTTAATCTAAATTGTTAAATTTGTGCTCATAGAGTTTTTCATAGTATTAACTCTGCCACTTTGGTTTTGTATTTTTTTCTGTTTTTCATTTCTCTGTTTTCTTTTTCTTTTCTTCCTGCCTTCCTTGGGTTACTTAAGTACTTTTTAGGGTTCTGTTTTGATTAATTTATAGTGGTTTTGGGTGTTAGCTCTCCTTTTTAGTGGTTGTTCTAGATTTTTGTTGTTGTTGTTGTTTTGAGTTGGAGTCTCACTGTCGCCTAGGCTCGAGTGTAGTGGCACACTCACGGCCACCCCATCGTCTACCTGCTGAGCTCTGGCGATCCTTCCACCTCAGCCTTCCAAGTAGCTGGAACTACAGGCACATGCTACCACATCCAGCTAACTTTTAATTTTTATTGTAGAGACAAAATCTTGCCAAGTTGCCCAGGCTGGTCTCGAACCCTCAGGCTCAGGCAATTCACTCCCCTCGGCCTCCCAAAGTGCTGGGATTACAGGCTGAGCCATCAACCCCAGCCTGTTCTAGATATTATATATGCATAACACCACAGTCTCCTGTTGTCATTTACCAGTTTGAGTGAAGAAGAGAAACCTTTTCTTCCTTTATTCTCTCCCATTTATAATATTAAAAACTTAGTATTATTTTTGTAGATAGTATTTTTTTTTTTTTTTTTTATATTTTTTTGAGTTGGAGTCTCACTCGGTTGCCCAGACTGAAGTACAATGGCCGCTTCCGGCCACCGCAGCTTCGCCTGCTGGGCTCCGGCGATCCTTCCGCCTCAGCCTTCCAAGTAGCCGGAATTACAGGCACGTGCTACCACGCCCGGCTGATTTTTTGATTTATTGTAGAGATGAGGTCTCGCTGCCCAGGCGGGTCTCGAACCCGCGGGCTCAGGCAATCCACTCACCTCAGCCTCCCAAAGGCGCGGGATTACAGGCTGAGCCACCGAGCCCGGCTGTAGATAGTATTAAATATTGTATATCTTAATAGTATTTGTGCATATACTATTTAAATATTTCACCCGTATACATTTAGAACCATATCAGACAGTGTTCCAGCTTTGAGCATCAAACAAAACTTTAAAAGATCTAAGAGAAGAAGATCCTATTGTATTTACCCATTTTTTTTCTCTCCATGTTTCTTCCTTCCCAATATTTCAAGTTTCTTTTTTAATTGTTTTCTTTCTGTTTGGAGACCTTTCTAAGCCATTCTTTTAGTGCTGGTGAGATCTCTTAGTTTTCCTTTATCTGAGAATGTCTTGATTTCCCCCTCATTCCTGAACAATATTTTTCCATGTTATAAGATTCTGAATTGATAGTTCTTTTCACTCAGTACTCGAAAAATATTGTGTCATTTCCTTCTAGCCTGTCATTTCTGCTGTTATTCAAATTGTTTTCCCTGTAAAGGTGTTCTTTTTCTGTCTGCTTTCAAGATTTTTTTCTTTATTTTTTGTTACCAGAAGTTTAATTATGATGTATCATGGCATGAATTTTGTGTTTATCCTGTTTGAGGTGTTTTGAATCTGTAAGTTTATGTCTTTTGCCAAATTTAGAAAGTTTTCACTCATTATTTTTTGAGAACTTTTAAACTCTCCCTCTCTCTCTTCTCCATCTGGGATTTTGATGACATGAATGGTTGGGGTAATCTCTCAGTCCCCCAACCCAGCCTATTGTGTATGCTCTTCTAGTTGGAATGCCTGGATTATGAAATAAACCAGTCTTGACCTTTGTTGGCTAATAACTCCTTTGTTCTCACTGAGGGATATCCTGGCTTTCTCCGGCTCCCTTCAAGTATGGGAAGATAGTGTTTTAATCAAAGTGCAGGTTTTAATCGGGGTGTGTCCTGGAGAAAAAGAATCGGCAACTGTTCTGGCTGTTTTGAAATCATTTCCTCTTTTTAATATTCTCTTGACCTGAACATCATGTCATGGAGCACTCACTGTGCATACAGAAAATACTTTGCTAAGGGCTGTGGCACACAGCAGCCCTCAAGGAGTTAACAGAAGGAGCAGTTCCTCCTGGAATACTAGTAACTGAGAAGCAGAGGCCATGGGGGGCCTTGTGATGCTAAGGGAGCTGAGAAGGTAAAGAGGTGTTTCCCACAGGATGCAGGGAAAGATGCCCCCGGGAAAGATGGGAAGAAGGATATTTAAGGCAAAGGAAAGGATGAGAGCAAAGGCATTGAAGCTGATCCTGAACTCCGGGCCTCAAGCAATTCTCCCACCTTGACCTCCCAGAGTGCAGGGATTGCAGGTGTGAGCCACTGTGTCTGGCCAGGCACTGAAGTTGGAATGCATGGGATGTATTGAATGGTGGACAGAGAGGGACAGAAGCAGTGTAGAAGGAAAATAGAGAGATTGTGACACCGAGACTATTACAGGAAGTGGCACTTTATTGGCGGGTCTTTAAAGTTGCAGCTTGCCTTTCAAAAGGAAATATAAATACCTTTAACTGCTATCAACCCCTTTCCTGCCGCTGGGCTATTGGGAGTTATCCTAGGTGATTGCCATGAGGCCAACTGTTGATCCCGAACCAGCTACATGTGTTTTTGTGTTTATTCACTCAATCATACAAGAAATATATTTGAGCATTTGCCACATCCTGCCACAGCAGGAGAGGAGAATTGACCCAGGGTGTGGAGAGTGTTGCTTGCCACACTAAGGATCTGGCTTTTTTTTTTTTTTTTGAGTTGGAGTCTCACTCTGTCGCCCAGACTGGAGTGCAGTGGCCACTCCCGGCCACCACAGCCTCAACCTACTGTGCTCTGGCGATCCTTCTGCCTCAGCCTTCTGAGTAGCTGGAATTACAGACATGTGCTACCATGCCTGGCTGATTTATTTATTTATTTATTGTAGAGATGAGGTCTCGCCAAGTTGCCCAGGCGGGTCTCGAACCTGCAGGCTCAGGCAATCCACTCACCTCAGCAGGATCTGCTTTTATTTCATAGAAATTGTTTTTGTAAAACAACTACTTTGCTCGGGTTGGGGAAGCTGGAGGATCATTGTGGCAGTGTCTTCTGTCTTAGCAGGAGGCTAATGTTTGAGTACCACCCTGCTATGTGGCAGAAAGTAACCTACATATATTTCCAGTTAATTTTCAACAACAAAAAACCCCTCAGAGGATAGTGTTCCCATTTTATAGATAAGAATGCTAGGAGTTAAGTATCTGGCCAAAGACTGATTTCTTCGCCGTCAAGTTGGAAGATTGTATTTTCCAGACCTTTTGAGGCTTAGGGGGGTTCCTTAAAACCTGTTATAGGTAAGATGGCATTTATGCTGCTGGGCCTTGAGGCAGGGGATGATCAGATGACCTCAAGGTCACATTCACTCTTGGGCAACCCAGGACCCATCTTCCCCTTTTGCCTGAGAGCTGCACTCTTGTGCTGCCACAGATGGACTCTTGAAGAAGCCTAAGAGATACTTAGTCCAGCTTGGTTTTCCAGTAGGAACCAGAGGTCCAGAGTGGCTAAGTCCCTCACTCACCTCCACACATAACAGGTGATAGGGACAGTTTGGTGCACTCTGCCTTGCTAGCCTTTTCTCAGTGTTACTGTCTTCTCAAATCTCCAGGCCTCCACATGTTTTCCCTCTCAGGTTTTTTTTTATTTTCCCCACAAAGTGTTGTTGTAGTTTTAACCTTCTTTGAGGTGAACAAAAAACTGCCTCATCCTTTGAAATTAGGTTGATCTCTAGATAAATACCTGTTATCTTGCCTGCTTTCATTTGGGTAGTTTCTGTGTGGCTCGAGAAATGGGAGTTTAGATTCAGGTATTTTTCCCATAATTTGGTTCAGGAAGAACATACTAGTCTTGCAAAGTACACGGATAACTTCATGGCTGGTTGTCAGGAGAAACTCTAGATTGGTGATGACCAGTCCAGGGATGATCTCTCCATGGATGGGGACAGGGGAGTTCATGCAATGTACTCTACAATCCCAGAACCAGGTGGCCCGCTGGAGCTGTGTGGAGCAGCGTGCCATGTAGTCTCTGGTGCGGTAGAAAGAGAACTGGCAGATGGCTCCGGAGACATCCCAACAGCTCATCTCGGGCAGGCTGATGCCACCTCTTTGGACCTCAGTTTCCCTTGTCTGTGAAGTGGTGATGATAAGGCCCACGCCATGGGGTCAGCAAAAGCACACTTGCGCTGGCAGTTCTTTGTACCTGGGGACTGCAAAGGTAAAGGATTATTGTTGCTGTCATTGTCATTATTAGGGCAGCGTGGACATTCTCAGGCTGACTCTCCACAGTGAACTGACAGGAGATGAACTTGAACACATAGCCCAGAAGGTATTGAGGTTTCTGGTGGGGTGAGGCTGCCTCCCCTCACTAGTTGTCCTTCCTTGCTGCTGACCCCTGCCCCACCCCCACTCCTGCCAGTGCTGCCTCTGCTGCTGTGACCTTGGGAGCAACATCCAGCTGACTTCAGCGTGTGTGCTGCTTTAGGGGATGGGGAGAACCACCCCCACTAAAATTAAAACTAACCCGCAATTTCTACTAATACACCCCATCCAGTGTTCTTGCTGCTTATGTGGCTTCTCCCAGAGGTTCTGAAGTGAATTTTTGGAGGGGGAAATTGGAATAACACTCGGGTCTTTTGAGAAGCAGATCTTCTGCATCAGTCGATGGGCAAGAGTTAGGGGCTTGTCACGTGGTTTCTCAGCCTTCTCTCCCACTCTCTGTGTCTCTCTCTGGTAGGCGGGCAGGAAGACCTATGCCATGCTGTCTGGCCACTCGGCTGGCCATTCTCTGGCCTCAGAACTGGTGGAGTCCCATGATGGTCATGAGGAGATCATTAAGGTAAGCTCAGTTCACCCCACCTTTTCTCCCTATGGGCACAGGAGAGGGAGCAACTGACATTGCCAAAGGGAACTTGTCGTTTGGAAGGAACCGGACTGAGATGCTAGTTCCTGGCCACCTCCTAGAAAGATCTAAATTAACTCCAGGACAATACAGTCTGCCTGTAGTGAGACTTTGGTATATCCTGGTCCCGGGCATAGGAGGACGGGATGATCTTACTAGGCGCCTGTCCACTGTTCCTGTGTTGCTGCTGGAGGTTGTAGAGGCAGGTGGGAGGTGTGTTTATGGAACTTTTTTGCCCCCTGATGATTGGTTCATCCTGATGGAACTAATTTTTCAAAATTAAAACAATTTGACCGAGCGTGGTGGCTCAAGCCTGTAATCCCAGCTCTTTGGGAAGCTGAGGTGAGAGGATTGCCTGAGTCCAGGGATTCGAGACCAGCCTGGGAAATTTGGTGAGAACTTATCTCTACAATAAATAAAAAAAAATTAGCGGGGCATGGTGGTGCTCACTTGTAGTTCTAGCTCCTTGGATGGTTGAGGTGGAAAGATTGCCTGAGCCCAGTAGGTCAAGGCTACAGTGGCTGTGAGCATGCCACTGCACTCCAGGCTGGGCGACAGAGTGAGACTCCAACTCAAAAAAAAGAAAAAAAAAAAGAAAGAAAATTAAAACAAATTTTATCATTTATTTTTCAGAAATAGCTTTTTGAGATGTAATTCACCTACCATATGGTTGGCCTAGTTAAAGCACAGTCATGCACTACATAGTAACGTTTTTGTCAATGATGGCCTTTACATATGACAGTGATCCCATAAGGTTATAATACTGCTTTTTATTTTTTTACTACAACTTTTTTTGAGTAGGCGGTCACCCATGCTGGAGTGCAGTGGCAAGCTCATAGCCACTACAGCCTGGACTTGCTGGGCTCAGGCAGTCCTTCCGCCTCAGCCTTCCAAGTAGTTGGAATTACAGGCGAGCGCCACCATGCCTGGCTAATTTTTTGAGTTATTGTAGAGACGAGGTCTTGCCACGTTGCCCAGGCTGGTCTCGAACCTCTGAGCTCAGGCCATCCTCTTGCCTCGGCCTCCCAAAGTCCTGGGATTACAGGCTTAAGCCACCGTGCCCAGCTACCTTTTCTAGTTTTAGATATACAAATACATTGTATTACTGTCACCCATGGTATTTAAGTGTGTTATTCTACATGTGTGTTTATGCTAATATTGCTATATATCATTCAGCTGAATTTATTGCATTAGGATAAATTTTCAGATGTAGATTTGACAGTTGAAAGAATAAATATATTTTTGAGTCTTCTGATCCGAATCACCCAATTGCTACCTAGTAAATGAGTGGTAACAATTTATCCCCCCCCACCACCAGCAGCTTATGTATAAAGTTGCCCATGTTTGTGAAATTAATTTAATGTGAGGTTTTTAAGCTGAATAGGATGGTCTTCCTTATTTCAGGTGTACTTGAAAGGGAGGTCTGGAGACAGAATGACCCACGAGAAGAACATTAACCAGCTGAAGAGTGAGGTCCAGTACATCCAGGAGGTGGGCCTGCCTTACCTCCAAGGGAGTGCTGGGGTGTTTCTCAAACTTCACATTTGTTTGACTCCCTTCATTTTTGGGTTCTGAATTTTTCCCTTCTGTTCCCTGTATGCCTCTGAAGTGCCAGCATTCCTCCCATCTTTGCAGTATCATTGTTGACCCTTTGTACCCGACCAATTAATCCACAAATACTTAATAAGTACCATGCGCCTAACAATGCTCCTGGCCATCCACCTAAAATTATCAGTCACCTTTCCCAGCACTTTCTAACTTTCCTGGCTCCTGTTTCTCCTTGGCACCACTTATCATCACGTGACATATTACACATTGTGTTGTTTGTTCTTCCCAGCTTGAATGTTAGCTGTAGCCCACACGTGACCAGGGTCCCTCCCTCCATCCCACAGCCAGTGCTTGGAACAGTAAACCCATATGAGGGCTGGGGACCGGCACAGAGGTGGGTTAGTTGCATGCTCTCTTTCCCTGCCCTGAAGCTCAGGTTTCTTGCCCTCCCCTCCTAGGCCAGGAACTGTCTGCAGAAGCTCCGGGAGGATATAAGTAGCAAGCTTGACAGGGATCCAGGAGATTCTCTCCATCAACAGGAGATACAGGTAATAGAAAATGGTCCATGGTTGGGTCTCCACTGAGCGGGTATGGTTGTACCACACCAATCACCTGGTGTGTGCTGAATCCACATCACTGCCAGGAGTGGAAAAAATGTAGGTGATATGCTTCTCTGAGCACACATGATCTAGTTAGGGCTCTCCAACTGGTGAGCGCTTGCATTTACACATATCAGCCTGTGTAATATATAGACCTGATCATAAAATACTGTACAAAAGTTGAATTTATATCAACAGAATTATCATCAGTTCTAGGCAACACCAAGCATCTATAAGGATTGTGTGATCAATCTCCTGTGATACATATTTTTTTTTTTTTGAGTCTCTGTCATTGCTACCACAGCCTCCACCTGTTGGGCTCAGGTGATCCTTCCACCTCAGCCTTCAAACTAACTGGAACCACAAGCTTGGCCACCACACCCATCTGATTTTTTAATTTATTATGGAGATGAGGTCTCACCATGTTGCTCTGGCTGGTCTCGAATCCCTGCTCAGGCAGTCCTCTCACCTTGGCCTCCCAAAGTGCTGGGATTACAGGCATGAGCCACCATGCCTGGCTCATGATACAGAATTTTATTTTTTTAAGTTGGAGTCTCACTCTGTTGCCTAGACTGGAGTGCAGTGGCATGCTCACGGCCACCCCAGTGTCGGCCTGCTGGGCTCTGGTGATCCTTCTGCCTCAGCCTTCCAAGTAGCCAGAACTACAGGCATGCGCTACCACACCCAGCTAATTTTAATTTATTGTAGAGCCGAGGTCCCGTCAAGTTGCCCAGGCTGGTCTCAAACCCGCAGGTGCAGGCAGTCCACTCGCCTTGGCCTCCCAAAGTGCTGGGATTATAGGCTGAGTCCGAGTCCAACCTATGATATAGAATTGGTTTATTTTTATTTTTATTTTTATTTTTTTTGAGTCGGACTCTCACTCTGTCACCCAGACTGGAGTGCAGTGCCTCGACCTGCTGGGTTCCGGCGATCCTTCCACCTCAGCCTTCCAAGTGGCTGGAATTAACAGGCATGCGCTACCACGCCCAGCTAATTTTTTGATTTATTGTAGAGATGAGGTCTCACCAAGTTGCCCAGGTGGGTCTCGAACCCGCGGGCTCAGGCAATCCACTCACCTCAGCCTCCCAAGGCGCGGGATTACAGGCTGAGCCACTGAGCCTGGCTGATACAGAATTTTAGAAAGCAGGCAGCCACCTATAAATCCAAACTTCTCACAAGTTGGTCTTGCTTAATTTGGGTGACACCTGTAGCGTCAGTTGAAGTCTTTGTCTTGGCCTGTTATTTATCTGTGTATATGGCTGTGTTAACCTAGAACGGGAAGCTCCTGAAGGTTAGGGACTCAGCAACCTCCCCCAACGCTATATCTGGTCTGGTATGTAGAAGGCATCAGTGAATGTTTGTGAGAATGAACAGATTGGCTGAGATCTTCCTTGGAAGGATAAACCTGGGATCCTGCTATTCCAAGGTTGGAGGATAGAAATGTCCTCAGGAGAACAGAGCTGTGTTCTTCTTCATGACTTCACCCTCGTCCTCCTTTAAATTCTGAGTTGTAGCTCCTTAATTTGCACTTTGGTTCAGACAGGGTGGTCTTTCTCTAGCAGTTCCTGCCTTTACTCCTCTGTAGGGAGCAACTGGCGCCAGGCAGTTTCTTTGACTTGGTCATGCACTAGGCCTGTGTGGTGGACATTCTCTAATATATTTTGCTTTGGCTGAAGATGGGACTTTCTTTTTTTTTTTTTGAGTTGGAGTCTCATTCCGTCGCCCAGACTGGAGTGCAGTGGCCACTTCCGGCCACCACAGCCTCGACCTGCTGGGCTCCGGCGATCCTTCTGCCTCAGTCTTCCAAGTAGCCGGAATTACAGGGGCGCGCTACCACGCCCGGCTCATTTTTTGATTTATGGTAGAGATGAGGTCTTGCTAGGTTGCCCAGGTGGGTGTCAAACCTGCGGTCTCAGGCAATCCACTCACCTCAGCCTCCCAAAGCGCGGGTTTACAGGCTGAGCCACCGAACTGGCTGAAGATGGGACTTTAATTGCCTGAGCTTGCATCTGGCTGGTGGAAGGTGCTTTGTCAGGTGGCAGGAGACAGGAGACACTAATGTGCTCAGAGTTGAGCCCAAAAGTCCAGGCCGCTGGTTTGCACAAGCCAGCTGTCATAGGATGAATAATCAGGCTTTGGGTTGGAAAGAATTGTAGCAAAAGCTGCTTCCCTTTGTGATTTATGCTTTGTTAAACCTTGTCAGGATCCCTGGGGGCAAAGGAAACTCTTTGTGGCAGGCAGCTGCTTGTATTTCCCTGGCTAGGAGGAATGGGCTCCACATAATTTCCAATCGGCTGAAAGGTTTTAGCCTGAAATTTCTTTCATCCTTTATTCAGTGTGTTCCCTCTCAAGGCCACACACGTTGTTTCCCCTCTCCCTTGTTTCTGTTTTCCCCTGGAACTCTTCCTTTGACTGCCCTCCCTCCTTCTCTCCCTTCCTTCTTTCCTTTTTTTCTCTCTCCTCCCTCTCACCTTCTTGCCTGCTCCCTCTCCTTGTCTCTCTCTAAGATTTGAGTCTTGGAAGAATGTTCCAAAGTCGGTTGCTTGTAACTGTTTTTCTTTTTTGTTTTGTTTTGGTTTTTTTTTTTTTGAGTTGGAGTCTCACTCTGTCACCCAGACTGGAGTGCAGTGGCCGCTCCCGGCCACCACAGCCTCGACCTGCTGGGCTCCGGCGATCCTTCCGCCTCAGCCTTCCGAGTAGCCGGAATTACAGGCGCACGG